TCGGTCGAAACTCTCAAAACTGTCTTACGGTTGATCATCAACCACGCCCCAGAAACCTACGACCCTAAGCAAGCCAAGTTAATACAAGAGAGGAAAAAAAAACAAGAACGACACGAGAGAAAAAAAATACAAAAAACTACTTACAGAACTACGCACCAACGACAACACTAACGGCAACACCAGAGACGACACCAATGATAACACCAATGACAATATTAACGACAACACCAATGATGACACCAGTAACAAAAACAAATCCAAAAGGCAACAAGCTAAAAAAAAAAACTAGTAAATGGAAAGTGAAAGTGAAAGTGAAGTATCAAAACAAACAATAAAAAAAAAAACTGATATTGATTATCATGGTGTATGAAAAAAAAATTTATATATGATTGCCAATCTCAAAATGATTGGTCAATCATATAAGGGTCACATAGCAATGGGTTGCTATTGTATTTTTGCCTAATTTTAATAGTTAAATTAATTTTAACTATTAAAAATAATTTTAATTTTAATAGTTAAATTTAATTTTTATTATTAAAATATATTAAAATTAAATTTTTTTTTTAATTTCAGCAGTTTTGCCATACTTTATTAAGTTTAATAATATTATACTTTGAAATATTAAATTTTTTAGAGGGTTATTCTTCCTGATATCTAAGTTACAAGTATTAACTTACCCAGTTATTTAGAGAATATCTATGTGTAACCTGCTATAGTAAGATTTACCTCCATACTAATTAATCCTGACTATGGATTTATTAATATCTTTTTGAATGATTCTTATGGCTTGTCAAGACTATTGATTAACTTTTTCACCATTCTGTATATTGCCTATTTTTTATCCAACTCAAAACTTCATATTTGGTTAATTCTAAAACCATTTTCCATCTTGCTTTGGTTTTATTTTTCATTTTTTTTTCTTTTATAAAGCTCCTTACTTGGGTCTTTCTTTTCTCTTGCTTTCTTTTTCTTTTTCTTTTTGGACTTCTTTTTTCCTTTGGTATCTGCTTTAAAATTAAATTTTAATTTCATTACTATTTATAACTATACAACTTTTGATTTTTTATTTAAGTAGTCTGTCTAAAAGTTTTATACTAGCTATTATTCTAGTATTAGTTTACATTTTTTACTTTTGTTTAAAATTATAGTATATACTGTAAATGTTTTAAGCTTTTAATTATATAACCAAATTACAAATATTTTATTTTAACTAATTAATTAATAAAAAAACTATATACTGTATATAACATAATATTAAAACAGGTTAATCTTTATATAGTATAGGTGGCACATACAGTATAGAATTATTATAAGATTATAATATATATTTGAACTAATTTAAGCAATTTATAAATAGTTAGAGTTAGAGATAGAGTTTTTTTATATTATAATCTTATAATATTTCTATATTGTGACACCTATACTAAAGAAGATCCATAAAAAATAATATCTAATAATCTTCTAGTAACAAGTAATACTAAAAGTTAAAAAAAGATAAAAAAATAAAAAAAACTCTTTACATTTAAAAGTTTTTTTTATAACTTTAAACTAGCTATATATTTAAAAAAGATTTTTATATCTTTCCCGACTCGACAACTATTTTCCCGACAACCATTTTCCCCGACATGACCATTTCCCAACATGACGTGATTGTTGGGAAAATGGTTATGTCGGGGAAATGGTTGTCGATGAAATGGTTGTCGGGAAAATGATTATGTCGAGGAAATAATTGTCGGGTAAATGTCGGTAAACTCTTTTTTAAACGTATAAAAAACCCCGGTATATACAGTATATACTTTATTTATATACTGTAGTAGTAACAAGCTAAATTTTAGTATATACTTTATTATCGTTATATACTGTAGTAGTAACAAGCTAAATTTTAGTATATATACAACAAAAGTTATTTGTATAGTATATATATATTTATATATATACTATATACAATACACACAATATATCAGATATATATATATATAAATATATATATATATTATTTTCATAGTATATAGTGAAGTTACTACGTATAATTTTTCAAACTAAAAAACCGATATATAAAGTTATAAATCCTATATACAAGCGTTTACTATTTTATAACTTATTATACACGTTTTAATCTTATGCACAAAACGAATTTCAATCGATGCAACTTAAATTATCTCTTTAAATTATTAACTCATAAACGTGTTTAAAAAAAATGGTATAAACTTTTAAAAATATAGTTTAACCAAAAAAATATTATTATTGAAAATTTGATTTTTTCGATTTTTGATTTTATGTATAAACTTATGATAACCTCATGTAAAGTATGAAAACCGAGGATCTTCAGAAGAATGTGCTAAAGGTATTGTTGGGGGCACTTATGATAGCACCTGATACTCTTCAAAAATCGAAATGGAAGGATGCGCGAACCTAAAGATCCTTAAGAAACATCCCACGCCGAGAGGCACTCCCGAGAGGGGATGCTACTGCTTGCAGTATTCTTTTCTTTTTTATTCATGACCTAAGGGCTCGTACATAATAAAGGTTAGCCCCAATATAAAATTTAAGCATTGGATTGCCCACCCATTATGAGTTGACATAATCAATTAAACAATTATTTGAATAAATCAGTTTAAAGAGTACAATGAAAAGATTGATTAGTTTCGAAATTCTTTAAAAACTGTCGTAATATATATTAAAAATTATACAGTATCAGTGAATCTAAAATTAAATTATGAAATAATTTGATCAATAAGTATGGTAATTCAAAAAGAACGTTCTTTTTTAACTGTTATTAAATAAAATTTATATACCGATGCCAATAAAATTTAAAAAATACAGGATCGAAATTCTCAAACCCCTTATTTCTATGGACAGTTCTATTTAAAACATAATCACCTTTTAATAATACAAATCTCACACAATTAAGACTGATTAGTAAGATGCATAAATAATCAAGTTAGGTTACAAATAAAAATTGAAAAACAAAGTCAAAAGCATATCATTAATTTCAATAGACGAATAACGATAAAGCTAAAAACTAAATTAAAAATTCAATAATTTCGAAATATTTGCTAAAACAATGATACTTCATTGTACTCAATATACATATTTATGTACAAATGAACAATTGTAATACATAAAAATTCAGTTTGGAAAAACTTAAGTGCGTTCTCTCATAACAAAATTTATTCACCCAAGTTTTATTAAAAGAAACAAACTAGCACATATATTCATACGCACATACGGACGTACGTACGTACGTGCGGACGTAATACGGGATGCAAGTACGTTGCATTTCGTTCTTTCTTGTTATATACTAAGATCTTATATCAAAGATTTATGATTGGTATTATTTATATGATTACAGCATAAAATAGAGACGTTTTAGACAAATTTAATTATACACAATGAGTGAAAAATAAATGAGAATTAATATAATAATAGATAATCTCTTTTTTTTTTTGTATGAGGCATTTTTTTTTTAGAAAACAATTGTTTCATTACCGTTGCATACCACGGCATTTTGTTGAATTCATATGGTTGGAGTATGGTTTTCAAAAAGTAATAGGTAGAGGATTAATATTTCCATTATTGACTTAGGGGGTATTTTAGAATTTGGAAACAAGAAAAATAGTGTATTTATCGTTTCAGCCAACTGCAATAGGTAATATGATTGAGAGATATTCACTAGCCAATGAAAAAGCATCTAAAAATATAATAAATGCACTACTAATATTTATTAGTGGAACACAGTTTAAAAAAAGCCACGCGAACTACCGATTTATCCATAATTAGAAAGCAACAAAGTCCAACATGCAAGCAGCATTACTTGTTATTCTACATTCTTTGGGTAAGCAAACGTCATTGCACTACGTCGATATGAAACTTTAAGAAGATCATGCGAGGTGGCCGAATCATTTTAAAGATTGCGCAGCAAAACTTAAACAAGTTTTCTACGGGTATATTTAGTTAGTAGCACCTCCGAGTAATGCCGATAGATTAGAACAAAGAGAAAAAAGGCGTAAATTGTTATTCGGTTAGTGACTTTAAGGTAAATGATGTTATCACAAGTGAAGAAGGTTAGGCAAGATATACATAAGTACGTACGTACGTACGTATGTGCAGTACAGTACGTACAGTACCTGGTACGCAGTTCGGATATTGTGTTTAAATTGAATGATTTTCGTTTATCCGTTATATGTTTTCTCCTTTATGTCCTTGTGACAAATTTTTCAACAATGTTAATTGTTCCGTGCTACCTTTCTATTGTTTGTGGCGTAGTCAAATAACAATCTTTGTCTGAATATTTAATACTGTAATATTAAAAAATATTTAGCTTTTAGTTATGTTAGCTGTTAATTATTTATTATATGCATGGTATTTATTCACATCTTAATCTAGGCTTGAATCGTCAAGCGTGGAAAAAAAAGTTTCACACGCAATGAGTTTAAAACTAGTTTTTTCTAGTATATACGTAGAAAATATACTTGCTATAGTATTTTATTATATATGATATATATATTATGAAATTGGCAAATCCTTTCCTTACATATAAAAAAATAAATTTCCGTTGGTTTTTTATCTACTGATCTTTTTATTTTTGACGGGCTGCAAGTATATTTAATTTTTGGAAGGAACGTTTCTTATTCGAACATCTCCTAATTCGTTAAAATCTTGTGTACCCCTTAGAATTCGTCTCTTGAAATTTTTATAAGTTTTGAAACAATTCCAATTTGGGTTTTCATTTTCATGCGAATAACATTCTTCGTGTGAATATCTTTATATTTTATCTCCTTGTTTAATATCAATTTTGAACAAAAGGATATAAGTATCTTTTGAAACCTTTTACGACCAAACTTTTTTCTTTTCTTTATTTATTACCTATAATCTTTTCTGGTTGAATCCAAAATCCTATATTTGTTGTAAATATGGACGCCCTTTATTTTAAAATTGACCACCTCAAGTTGTTATGGTCAGAGTATCGTTCTGCAAACGATGGTGTCAGTAGAGATTACAGCGATCACTCGGAGTGGGCGCGTGAAAAACTGCAGGTACCGTTTTATTCCTTGTTTGTGAACAATAAGTCTTTTCATGATCGTTTGATCTCGAAGCTTTTTAGTTATGCTATGTATTGTAAAATTTAGGCAGTATTAACAGAGTTTGACAAGCTTATCCAAGAACAAATTCTTTGGAAATCAGCCCTTTCGGCTGAAATAGATGACTTACTGGTATTTATAACTTTTATGTATCTAAGTAATCTAGTGATTTTTATTATTTATTACTGACATAATCCTTTTTTTTTATTTTTAGGTGGAGATAGAAGAGTGCTGTCAAATATTTGGCCGGAGAGTGGATACCATTATACCGAAAGCCGCTGCATTGAATGTTGAACTAAATGATACAACACGTGATAATCTAAGGTCCATCCGAGACTCGTTACGAGAAGTACGTGTACCTCAAATATTCGGTTATTTTAATCGGAGGTTATTGGTTAATCAGATCTTTGCCTTTTTAGGAAATAAACCTTACTCAAACAAACGTTAAGAAATGGTTGTCTGACCTTAAAACCTTTGTTATAGAATTGGAGGATGACTATAAAGTTCCATCAGATGAAGTAATTAAGAATTCGATATTCATATCATAATAGAATATGTGTTATTATCTACGTATTAATCACTAAAAAATATATTATGTAGATTTTTGAAAATGATCTAAGTACTTCCGTAGTTCTACCGGTTTGTATATACATTATTTTATTATAATATTGATTGATGAAATTGTTTTTATCCAATAATCCAATAATAAATATGTAACTAATTATTCTATACACATTTACATATAGTTAAAATGTAAATACGATGAATTGGTTCATGATGTGGTAGGTCGACGTGACGCTTTTGAAGAGTCTGCAATCAAACTACATTATTATTGGGATGCGCTTCACCATATTCCCCAAGATGAAATAGATGAAGCATTATTCGATTTATTTAGTGATAAACAAAATCCAAAAGAAATTTATGATGCATTATTACAAGCTTCTGAAAATAAGAACATTAATAGTGATGATGATCAACAAGAAATTGTTGATACACAACGTGAATATGTATATTACACCGTTCAACTTCCAAATGGATTAAAATTATCTCCAGAATGTTTAGCTGCTCTCAAAGAAAAATTAGTAACTCTTGGAAAAGATTATGAAACTCGTAAAAATAAAATGACTGCCATGCAAAAAGATATAAAGAGCCTATATAAAGAATTGAATACTCCTTTGGAAGAAAGAATTGAGTTGATCGATTCTCTTGATGAAGAATACTTGGAACGGGTTAGCTTTCTCCTTAAAATGTCATTTATTCTATTAAATTATTTATATGTTATTAATTTTATTTATTTATTTATTTAGCTGTCTTCGGAACATGAACGCTTAAAAGAAATCATGCGTGTCATCATTGAAAAAGCTATCGAAGAGGTATGAAAGTTTAATAATTTTTTTTATATTTGGTATTTTTTTTTATTGTTACTTTTATTAAAGTTTATATATTTTTTCAGTATACTTCTCAATTGGTTGAACTATGGAATAAATGTCTTGTTCCACAATTTGAACGGGATGAATTCTTTGCCAACGTACACAAACGTGAGTCTACTTTGAATATATATTAAATTCCGATTATTTTTTTTTTAACTTTTTATTTATAATATTATTACAGTTACTTCCGCGGAAGATGTTTACGAATTACTTGCTCATGAAGTTGCACGCTTACAAGAACTTTATGCTAAATGTGCAAATATATACAGACTAATGTTAGAAAGACGTGCATTGATTGAGGTAGAATTGATAAAGTGTTATAATCATTGATATATATACTTCTTTTTTTTTTCTTACTGACCGAATCTTTAATTAGAAAATGACAGAGTTTGAGAAAAAGGCGTCAGACCCACGTCGTCTATTTCAAAGCTCTTTCCGTTTATTGGAAGAAGAAAAATGGCGAAAATCATGTTGGCCTAACTTGGTCAGGATTGAAGATCAATTAATTAATGCGTGCATCAATTACGAAGAGAGTAAGTTTCATTACATAAATTCAATAATTATTATTATGTAATTTCAGTATTGGTTTATCATTCAATTTGATTTTTTAGCTGAAAGAAAACCATTTATGCACGAGAGTATGCGATACTTGACAACTTTGGTATGTTAAATATTATTATTTGTCACGTTTTAGTATGTTCATATTGTGTTAAAAAAAATTATTTTCATCAATTACAATAGCAATCTGAGATATCTGAACGTATTGTCAATCAAATGTTCTTTGGTTTTGAAAAGGATGCTGCCAAAGGTCAAGGTGTCGATCAAAATCATGGAAATCTTAAACGCAAGGATAGTCAAATCACACTTAAAACTGCGCCAAGCCGATCCGTGTCACCAAGTGGTCTAAATGATAATTCATCGCGCAGAAACAGCATGTTGATACGACCTTCTCAGAGCAGGCAAGTATCTCCTACACGAAGAAATTCCAGAGCACCCAGTCGACCAGTATCTCCCGTTCGAAGAAATTCCAGAGCACAAGTATCTCCCACTCGAAGAAACAGCATGTTAATACGACCTTCTCAGAGCAGGCAAGTATCTCCCACTCGAAGAAACAGCATGTTGATACCTTCTCAGAGCAGACCAACATCTCCCACTCGAAGAAATTCCAGAGCACCTAGTCGACCAGTATCTCCCACTCGAAGGAATTCCAGAGCACCTAGTCGACAAGTTTCACCCGCTCGAAGAACAACTTCCAGAGCACCTAGTCGACAAGTTTCACCCGCTCGAAGAACAACTTCCAGAGCACCTAGTCGACAAGTTTCACCCGCTCGAAGAACAACTTCCAGAGCACCTAGTCGGCCAGTATCTCCGACTCGAAGAGCAGCGCCTAATCGACTAAATTCCCACAGGACAAGTAAATCTATTGATGATAAAGGGTTTGCATCTCGTAGATCATCGCTCATTATAGACAAGGTTAACTCTACAGCACAACGTAGTAATAGCATATCTAGTGCGTCGAGTGAATCTTCTACTTCTTCAATTACTGCACCAACTACTCCTGAACCTTCTTTAACTTCTTCATATGTTGATGATGGAAAATCACAATCAAATACTTCTATTAAAAATAATGTTAAACCAAAAATGAACAATGATAGTCAGGATAAAAACATTTCACAATCAAAAGCAAGAATTCCTCCTCTATCTACGGCTAGAAAAGCAAATACAGGAATGGCTAAGGCAAGACCAAGAAGTGTAATTGGTGGTATTTCAGAACCCACTGCAATGCTAAAAAAACAAGCGAGTAAAAGGATGTCAATGGTTGCGGACAGTGGACATTAAAATATATACATGGACTTTATCTTATTCATATTACCTTGGTGCACTGGCTAAAGGACCCGGGACCTAATACAAAATACCCAGCAAAATTTTTGTAAAACTTCGTGGTCCCGTGGTTCAAGCCCCCCAGGTATTTCACATGGGCGTATAAGTCCTACAACACTATGTAGAATAAGCAATTTAAATTATATAAATCTTAGATTAATTTTTTTTTTTTTTTCATTTAAAAATATATATATATTATATAATAAAATATATAATATATATATGCAATTTTGGTAACCTTTTTAAGATTTAGTAAGAAAACTTTTTTTTTTCGATGATCAAATTTTTAGATTTTTGATTTTTTGGTCGTACGTACTGTAAATATTTTCTGTAAACTGGACATTAATTTTTAAAAACTAAACGTAATAATAATAAAACCATTCACTCATGATAATGCACGTTAGCAAAGTTAGCCACAAATACAATGACATAATAAGGCTATTTCAAGATTAGTTCATCAAATGTGAACAATGAACAAAATCAAACAATTTCTATATTAATGTTATTGATTAAGTCATCATAAATCAAGTTGATTAATTCAATAAAAGAAGTTCTTTCAATTATTAATTAAGTTATTATTATATATAATTCTAACTAAAATAGAAAACCGCCGCCGATTATATTATCACGTGAAAATCATGTCGTGTCTAATGCTGTAATGGATTATTAATAGTCATTAGCATATCAGCAGCATTTCTTCATTGACGTAGCCTGAGATCCTATATTACGTTAGATTTATTCGTTATCTCCTTATTTTTTTTTTGCTGCTTAAAATCCTGTAAATACAAAATTTTTTGTATTGTATATTGTTATAGAAATTTTAAAAAAAGATAGCAGCGATAGCATGTATTAGAAACCCCAACACTATGCGAAAATAAAGATAAAGTAACCGATTCTATGATGCGAGATTTGATTTTGATTATGCGGCTATTTTTAATTTTATCCCCCGAAATTACGATTTTTTTTTTTTTTTTTTTATGTGAAAAAAAAAAAAAGTATTGTAAATCTTATACTATCGGATCCCATTAAAATAATAAAAAATTTACATACAGTATATTATTTTTTTACACTACATTATTAAGCCTTGAATATTCCCACCAAATTTTTAATCAGATACGTACGTACGTACGTACGTATGTACATGCCTACGTAGCTTTTTGAACCGGATTGTAATTTCTGACTTAAATTATCTGGCCAAAATTGAAATTTTTATTCTAAACTCTAATTTTAACTTTTTCCTAATTTTAAATTCTAATTCTGAACAATAACAATGCTGGTCGGAATTAGGATTTATAATGAAATCAGCTAATTCTAGATTGGGATGATTCTACCTGGAGTGCTGTAAGATATTCAAACATATGCTGTATAAATAGTAAATACGGTCTTCTCTCTCTATACTTAACCTTCATATATCGAACTCTAACAATAACAAACAAAAGACTTGAGACGTTCAAACCTAATTGGATTGATACAATAATTAATGCAATTAATTTGTGCGAAGTTTTTGTCAATTATTTGGTTAGATTGGTTAATAATATTGGCCCGCATTAGGCTGATTTTAAAAATGCTTATATTATACTGTTACGTATAGATTAGTAATTAGTTACAAAACATGAAAATAAATAATCGTTAGGGTTTTTAAGGTTTACCGACATTTACCCGACAACCAATTCCCTGACAATTATTTTCCAGATAACCATTTCATTTCCCCGCGTGACCTTTTTCCCAACAATCTCGTCATGTTAGGAAATGGCCATGTCGGAAAACGATTATGTCGGGGAAATAATTGTCAGGAAAATAGTTGTCGGGAAGTGGTTGTCGGGTAAATGTCGGTAAACCCATGATGGCTAAGTATAAAAATATATATAATTTAATAAAAAAGTATATAGTATAATTTATTAATAACTTTTTTGTTAAAATTATATTAATAGTGTTAATACAATAGTAGAGGTTATTTTGCCAAAGGTATGGTCAGGTGTTATAAGCCAACATGATGAGGTGTTTACAGGGGTCCATGTGAAGGGATTAGGGTATATAAGGCTAAATGTTGGTGATGCCAGTTCACTAATTGTGTCCTTAATTGTGGTGAACTATTTGGGGATACGGCCTCGCGGGATTTTTAGAATATTGTGGTAGAAGCTTTTCCAGTCGAGTGTGGCGGTATTATCATAATTTGTAAATTGTTCAATTGCAGAGATGTTGTGTTGATTTAGTTGGTATTTAATATAGGTGCTATTCTTTAATGGGTGTACCAGGTGTGTGAAGTGGAATTGGATTTGGGTTAGGTAACCAAGTAAATTGTATATTAAGTCAGTGTATGTTGAGTATTAGTTGTGCTGTAAAAGTTTTAAGTTCGTTGTATGTGAATTGGGATTGGTTTGTTAAGATAGAGATGTTAGAGAAGGCATTATTTTGTAGTTGTTGAAGTTGAATAAAGAATGATGAAGGGGTGGTTGGGGAATTGAGCATATTGTCAAGTATGGATATGTGGTGAGATTGTTGTAGTTGGTGGGTGTTCATTAGTGCGTATGTGTGTGGATAAAAAAAAGAGAGGATTAGAGGTATATTGGGAGATTGTTGCTTTGTGTTTTACAACAGTAGTGTACCAATATATGAGGTATTGACAGTTTGTTAGATTTAGAAAAGTATTGATAAGTTGGTAACGTAGTCTAGAAAGCAAAACTGTATTGATAATGTAGGTGGCTTATTTTTCAGTGATTTTTGCATAGTTGAGTTTATTTAGTTCTGTGTAAAATTCTTGTCTGATTTTGTGAATTGAGTATCAGTTGTTGATAGTATGGTTGATAAATGTGCCAAGGAATATGAAGGTTTGTATTAGTGATAGGTTGTATATTGGTTGGTTTTGGTATTGTTGTGAAATAAGATAAATTTGCTGGAGTTTATAGTGATTTTTAACATTTGGTAAAAGAAGAAAGCAATGCCAAGCATTTGTTATAGTGATGTATAGCTTGAGAAGATCTACGTAGTATTGTTCATATAGGTGATTATATTGGTGATAGTGGTATGTGTTTGGTTGAAATTAGGTATGTTAGTAGAGATAGTGTAATTTAGAATAGATTTTGAAATATAACTAATAAGAAAATTATAATAAATACACCAAAGTATTGAAAAGATTGTTTTGCCTTGGTCAATGCTATTAGAGATCTTATCTGAGTTGAAAAATAGTGATCTGTGTCAAACTCAGGTTGAATCTTTCTGACTCGGCTTACAACCCGGGTTAATAAGTTAAATATGCCAAGGCATGATTTAAGTTTTTTTATTTACTATATCGAAAAAACTAGGAAAACTAAGTAACTGACCTGGGTCGAAACAATTTTTGATCTGTAAAAGCATAATATACACATAATTCAGTTATAAAAAAAGAATAAAATCATATAGGTAAATTGTGATTAGTGGATAAGTGTATTGAAAGATGCTAGTATAAAATTCTATAAAGTTCTAGATTTTAACTCATTTGAATCAGGTAAACCAAATTTTGACCTGTAACTCATTGGGTTAGATAACCCATATGGGTTATTCAATATGGATAAAAACCCTAGATGCAATTTTCAATGTTGTAGAGTAGTGTTTTGCCAATAAATATGATGACTTGATTTTGTTATAAGAAGAAAATATTAGATATGAGATTAGTAATTTGGGATAATATGCCAATTCTGAGAAAAGCTTTTTGTAGTAGAGTATATATATAATATCATAAGCTTTGAACATGTCTTGTGATAGTATCCAAAGCTTGTTTTTGTTTATATATGTGTTTTCATATAGATGGATAATATATTGAATGAGTTGTAGTGTGGAAGTTAGAGAAAGTATGATATTATTTGAAGGATCGAGTAAATCATTGCATAAGAGAATCAAATTAAAGTATGTAGTGAGTATTTTAATAAAGATTTTACAAACATGTTTAATCAGTGTTATGGGGTGGGTTTTGAAAAGGTCTCCTGGTTAATATCTTTTTTTTGAAAATAGGCCAGACCAGATCTTTGTGCCAAGCCATAAAAGTCATTTGTAGGTTAATACAAATATTAAAGAATTTAGCTAATATTAGTATTACAGTGTGTAGAAGTTTTTTTAATATTTCATAAGAGATTGATAAGAGCCTGTTGCTTTTTTTTTTTTTTTATTAATGTTAATGTCATATATAGAAAAGCGAATAACTTTTACAAAGTATCACATGAATACAT